TCAGGGTTTCCGGCTCTTCGAAATGGAGGCCTGGACATTCGTTGGTTTTGGGGGTGAAAAAAGGTCTATCTAGAGAGTTCTTCCACTGAGATACTGCAGGAATCACAGAATGATCTGGGGTTGGAAGGGACCTCTGGAGATCACCCAGTCCAACCCCCTGCCAGAGCAGGGTCACCCAGAGCAGGTCCCACAGGAACGTGTCCAGGTGGGTTTGAATGTCTCCAGAGAAGGAGACTCCACCACCTCTCTGGGCAGCCTCTGCCAGGGCTCTGCCACCCTCACAGGAAAGAAGTTCCTCCTCGTGTTTAGATGGAACTTCCTCTGTTCATGTTTGTGCCCATTCCCTCTTGTCCTGTCACTGGGCACCGAGAAGAGCCTGACCTGACACCTCCTGACACCCACCCTTTCAGTATTTATAGGGGTTGATCAGATCCCCCCTCAGCCTGGTTTCATGACCTGAGAGATCGATGGAGTATAAGGAAAAATATATCAACACGGAAACATTTTTGCTTTTGATTTCTTTCTCCTTTTTCCTCCACACACTGTCCTCTGACTGATATTTCTTACTCTTACAGTACTTATATCTCCTCCCTCTGTGTCCCTGCAAAGTTTTTTCCCTTGGAGAGTTAACACGTAAAGGAGAATTTCTAGTGGAGCATTAGCTAGAAAAAAATCTGAAGGGAGAAAGAAAAAACCAAACTAAAACCCACCTGGCTCTGAGAGTTCCATTCCGAGCCCATATTATTGACTTTTCTAGAAAGAATCTGGTACATAAAGGGTTGTATGTACACAAACATCACTCCTCCTGCTTCCAGTGCTACATGTTTACTTACAGGACTGATTCACTCTCAAACAGCCAGCAATACTGAGGATTAGAAGAGGTTTATGGTCAAACTCTGACAATTAATTCCAAAAAATGTTTATACCACCGTAAGCACTAATGAAGGCAAGTTAATAATAATACCCTGAATAGCACCTCTAATGAAAACCTAAAGTGATTTTCATGCTAGGACAGAAGCGGTCTAAAACAATTCCAGTTCATATTGAACTGCAGAGGGAGATCTCCTTCAAATAAGACACCTGGCAGCAGTGAAAACTTCAAAATCCCCACAGTGAGAATTATTTGCCATCCCCAAAACAAGTCTCTGTTTGACTCTTGGCTGAGCGGATATTTGGGGCTTTTTAACATCTTCCAAAGGGCTCTTCCAAATGCCCCTCTTCCAGTGTTTGAAGCCTTTCACGTGTGCTTGATGTAACACAGAAAAGAATTTATTCAAAATTTCTGGAAGGCACCTTTTCCTTTTAGGCATTCAGACCCAAAAAAGGCAGATAGAGTCAAGCTGACTGCTTTTAGCACAAACGGCCTAAAGATGAATTTGAACTAATTACAGCCTATAACAATGATTTTTTTTTAAAAAAGCAGCCTTTTAATATTTTAAAAGGGAAAAAAATAGCCTAAAGATGAATTTGAACTAATTACTGCCTATAACAATTAGTTTTTTTTTAAAAAAAGCCTTTTAATATTTTAAAAGGGAAAAAAATATTGAACACACTTCTGAAATTCCTCACATTTTGGGACTTTTTTACATTTACACCTTAATATTTTGTCTTAAATACAGCAGGTAAAACTAGAACACACAATCAAGACCGTTAAGCTGCGTTATCACTTTAAAAGCATTTTTACTCGTTGTTAATTTATAATCTGTTTCAGATACAAATTCGTGTGGCAGAGACCGGTGACTATTTCCCTGATCTGGCAGCTTTCTCCAAGACACATGATTTTGTGATCTGTTATTTTTTGAGAAATGCTGCTATTTTATCTAAAACACCCCAGTTCAAACACCTCAAAACCCCGAAGGCTGAGCCAGAAGGGTTGTGTAAATTCAAGTTCAAAGAAGCATCATTTACCCCAACTTTTAGATTATTCTTTGTACATCAAACTGTGATTTTAGCTAAAGGAAGACTACCCGGGTTATTAAGGAGGACTTTTAGACATAAGAAGACATCAGGAACATAAAGGAAAACAGTGGTTGGTCTTGTTGACAACTGTGCGGACATCTGTCACGGGTCAAACCACCAGCCAAATCTGTCAGGACCAGCAGGGAGCTATGAAGAGGAGTATGGTCTGGTTTCATTTGGCTGAGCACACATTTTGGGAATAAACAATCCTGGAAGAACAGTGCTCCAGAACTGTGCTGGAAAGGAAGGTACCTGGCTCAGAATCAGGGTTTCCGGCTCTTCGAAATGGAGGCCTGGACATTCGTTGGTTTTGGGGGTGAAAAAAGGTCTATCTAGAGAGTTCTTCCACTGAGATACTGCAGGAATCACAGAATGATCTGGGGTTGGAAGGGACCTCTGGAGATCACCCAGTCCAACCCTCTGCCAGAGCAGGGTCACCCAGAGCAGGTCCCACAGGAACGTGTCCAGGTGGGTTTGAATGTCTCCAGAGAAGGAGACTCCACCACCTCTCTGGGCAGCCTCTGCCAGGGCTCTGCCACCCTCACAGGAAAGAAGTTCCTCCTCGTGTTTAGATGGAACTTCCTCTGTTCATGTTTGTGCCCATTCCCTCTTGTCCTGTCACTGGGCACCGAGAAGAGCCTGACCTGACACCTCCTGACACCCACCCTTTCAGTATTTATAGGGGTTGATCAGATCCCCCCTCAGTCTTCTCTTCTCCAGACTAAAATGACCCAAGTCCCTCAGCTTTCCTTGTAATAGAGAAATGCTCCAGGCCCCTCATCATCTTTGTAGCCCTTTGCTGTCCCCTCTCCAGCAGTTCCCTGTCCTTCTTGAACTGGGGAGCCCAGAACTGGTCCCAGTGCTCCAGATGAGGCCTCCCCAGGGCAGAGGAGGAGGATGATTTCCATCCACCTGCTGGCCATCTTTTTAAAGCACTCCAGGAGACCATTGGCCTCCTTAGTCTTCTCTTCTAGGGCCTCTTCCAGATGAGCTTCATTCCCATGGCCTTGCTCCCGCTGGTTGACACTAAAGGCCATGCTGAAGCCTTGAGAGGTGGGAAGGGTTGGGTCATCCTTACTAGGCGAGTCCGACAGGCACTCACAGGTGAAGTTGATGTAAATCTTTATGCTCGAGGTTGCCTGACTGGGTGTGAGGTGTCTTTGCCTTTGACTCGGTGCCAGCACAGTTAGTGCAAAGGCAATCTGAGCTGGAATCCTTCTGTCTATACTGGTGGCCATCGGACCGTCCCAGAGAGGTTCTCGGCTGAAAAGCAAAAGGAACAGCCCACGGCCAGAGCTGCACCTCAACTGATGCTTTCTGCTGCTGCACTGTCAAAAACACCTCTTCAAGAAATAAACATTGTTTTTACGGACTGTTCCAAAAGAAGCAAATTTGAACTTGGTCCTTCACTAAAACCAAAGGGAAAAGCAACAAACAAAATGCTTCAGAGACACGTCCCTTCAGACATGCTTCAGAGCTTCAGAACATGTCCCTTAAAGAGGACGTGCACACACCGTGCCTTGCAGCATAATGGTCTCAGATGACAGCTTTTTAATAGCTTTGTATGGGCTCAAAGGGGTGACTCCCCCACCACCTCATTTTTTTCAGAACTAGGGCTTTTGATGGACTGACAGAACACGAATGGGATTCAGTGATTTCTTAAAGTTAGCTACTACTGCTCTGCTCTGCTAATACGGTCTTCTGCTGTCATATAATGCCTTACATATATTTATAGAAGTAATTGAGTAGATCCTACCCTCTGGTTACGTAGGTGACCAGTGCTCAGAACAGTTCTTTATCACTCTGCTGAATTCCTTACGTTTGTGTCTCAACTAATTTTCCCTATGAGCCAGCCCCGCATTCAAGCTTCCCCACTTATGTGGTTTTTTGGTCTTTTCTGTATTTTTTTTTAGGACCGTCACAAAAAGGCTAGTGAGCGAGCACACAATACTGACCACACTAAATCAGGAATCAGTTGTTCAGCTCGAAGTGTAATGTGACATCCTCTTTCTAAAATAGCATGAAGATTTTCTTTCATGCACATTTCTGGGCTCTTTTTTTGGTTCACAGCATATTTCAAGAAAAAGCCTGCCTGAGGAAACAAACTAAAACCAACAACGTAGAAACTGCCATAGAAACTTATTGGAAAGCATTAAAAATTAAATAGTTTTTTAAAAGAGCTCTCAGACTTAATGGTAAAACCTATCAAAACTGTCTATAATGATTTAATTTGTAACAATTCCATTTCAGATATATTTGCTTAGTTGTTGGTTGGGAGTTCAAAGAGAAAATGACATTTTTTCCCACCTAATGGTACCCATACATTTTTTGCTTTTCAAATAATTGGCAGGGGGGTGGGCAGAAGACGACCACCACTTTTTGAAGTGGTGGTGATAAGATCCAGACCAATTGAGGCTTCAGGAGAAGCTCTGAAACGAAAGAGTCCTCGTACACAACTCTTTGGGCAGACTTTGCCCTGGCAACTGAATCAACAGCCTCCCAGCACAAGAGCCTCAACCATTATCCTTACGCTGCTCATGCCACAGTCTCTCAGATAAACAGATGCATCTTAAGATGTCAAATGGGCACCTTCAGCAAGTGAGATGCCACCCCAAAAACCATCAACACAGTAAATCTATCTGGAGCCTGCTTATGGGAAGATATTCAGCCTTCACCTCACATCCCCCAAATCATCTCTTCTGTTTCCTCACTACTTTCATTTTCCAAGCAGGTTTAAAGGCGTAATGCAGCGGCTCTGGAGAGGAAGCAGAAATGTAGGAGGATGGAAATTTATTTTCACAGTATATCATGGAACATATATGAAGGTCTTTACTCAAATGAGCTGAAGTTCTAAGTTTCACGCGTGTAATGCCGCTGAAGTCAATGGCGTTACACACGTGGTACCGAAAGGTGAGCAAGTACTCACCGAAGACAACATTTACACCCTTGCACTTCTTAGTCTTTTTTCAACAATAAGAGCTCTCATATTGTAAGATGATTTTGTTTCTGAAAATTCGGTGACAAACAAACACACAACGTACCTTGAAGTCGCAATTTCCACTTTGGTTCTGGCCATGGCAGCTGCTCGCTGTGCTCCCTCTATCGCTCTATCCACCTTTTCTCTAGTTTTTGTGTTTCGTATGGGTATAAGTTGCTTTCTTATTCCACGGACCAAAACGTTATTTTTGTACTTTCCCTCTTCTTTGGTGCCATCTGGAAACATGGTACATCCATACCCGTGCCGCCTGTTGTTTAGCCACTCTCCTTCGTATTTCATACCGTTGGATCGCTCGCTAATACCAAACCCGCTGCGCTTGTCGTTCTTCCATTCGCCCATGTAGGTTTCTGTCGTGGTGGCATCTACGTGGTCTTCCATAGGGGAGTAATCACAGTCACCGTCTCCGAAACTAATCGTAGAGTTGGCATCGCTAGAACTAATTCTGCTCATGGCAGCATCGCTCCTGACGGAGCTCCGTTTGCTCGATATCGACGACCTAGATTCGGATTTCCTCAGTTTTATACTACCAAGGAGGGACCCTCTTCGGAACAAGCCTCCTTTTTTCTTAATGCCCACGGCTTCGGGATCGCTGTGGAAATTGAGCACGAATCCTCCCCTCGTGCCAGCCGGGCTGTCCGCCGTCACGTCGTGCAGAACGGTGCCGTTGCTCTGCTCGCTCCGTAGGGAAGCCAACGACGTCCGGAGCGGGGACCGGATCACAGTGGCCATGCCGTAGGGCACGCTCTGACGGACGCCGTACCCGTGCCGCATCCCTCCCGTCCACTGCCCCTGGTAGGTACCTTTTATAAAGGGAGAAGGAGAAATTACATTTAGGAAGGCGGAGAAGAGCCAGCCCTCTACATCCAGCACGCCACGGGCAACGCTACGCTGTCAGCTCTGCTTTTTTGCGAAGAAGAAATGCAGAAAAAAAAAAAAAATCACAGCACGTGACACGGCAGATAAACCACTTTTGCTGCTTGTTTTTCTCCTGAATTATTTCTCCTCTTAACAGAGCCTTCGCTTCCCCCAGCTGAAATAATTTATTTTGGCAACTAAGGCGCAGCAGCTACCATCATAAGCATTTTTTCTGAATGGATCTGTCTGTGGGAAAAAAAAAAAAAAAAAAAAAAAAAAAAAAAAAATCAGGAGAAATTTCTAAGGCAGGGCCTCCCTCAATGTTTCTTTTTTTTTTTTTCAAGGTGGTGAGATGGGGTCAGCAGCAGCAGAGCCACGTCACACACAGTCAGTTTGGGAGGGAGGGAGCAGGATGCTCGTGGCTCTTGCCTCCAGCTGCTCACAAAAAGAGCAAGCAGGAGCAGTAAAAGTCCTGTTTTCCTGGGTTTAAGGTGACCACGGACATCTCCTTGTCAGGACACCCACCGAATCACCTTGTCTTCAGATGGGCCTTTGGATCCACAGCTATAAACCTCAATTGTATAATTAAGTATTTTAAGGTTTTTGCACGTACTTGAATGGAAGAGCAAAACCTCGGTGTATCTTACTCTTTACGAACTCTGGATATCGACACTTTTTGATATTCCCAGTGTCACAAACCCAGCACTGTGTCACGTTGTGACACAAAGATCAGAAACACGAACCCTTTTAGCACTTTTTTTTGCCTTTCATTTTTCTGCAGTATTTAAGACAGACAAGGCAGTAAAAACCAGAATATCACACACCATTCTATCGTAAATACATTTATTTCAGTGTTGCAATCATAACTTTTTTGGTCATTTTTTCATCTGAAGAGCAACAGGGCATTTGATAGACATCACAGATACCCATGTAACGGGGGACGTGGAAAACTGCACCAGAGCCAAACCCCAGCGTTATCAGATTATTACTGCAAACTACCTTTTTCTTGTATCCTGGAGAGGCATTTTCCCTTTGAGGAGATACATTCTCCGGTATCTGGTCCCTGAAAGCCATTTGTACCAGACATTCCAAGGGAAGGTGCCAGGAACCCCCCAACTGGCAAATACAAGATAATTTGCTTTCTAAGATCATTTCACTCTAATTCCCATTAAACTGCTTTAAGCTCCTCAAAATGAAGTCTCTCGCCCACCTACTGCTGCTTTTTTTTTTTTAAAAAAAAAAAAAGTTATTTTGAGTCTGAACATTCTTATAGAAGGATGAATAAGCAGTCTTTAAAATATCTTTCTTTGATTTCGATCTGCTTTAATTGGAGCACCTATTAAAAACTATTCTTTGGAGAACTTGATATCAAATGTCAAATCCGGTGACTGACTAAAATCTTTTTGAAAATGTGTGTGAAATACCTGCAGTTTTAGCCGTAGCTCAAAGCTTCGTTTGCTTTGAGATTCAACCTCCTTTGTACAAGCACGCTATTTCGGTCCTGCACATGTCAATTATCTATCAATTATTGCTTTGCCATATTACCTCTTCTGCCAAGTTCTATCTCAACGTTAAAACACAATTAAATCTGCCAAGATTTATTACATACTATTAGATAGGTTCCACCACGGAACTATTTTGTGTCGGGAGAAAATTCTACCAAGTGGAAGGTTTTTGTTTTAACAGATGGCTGCTGACACAAACAAACAACTTTCTTGGTTTCTTTCTCCTCCTCTGTCTCCTGGAAACCCACCGCCGCGCTGGTTCTAAGGGTGCTGAATCTGGAGACAGGATTATTTTAAAAAAACTCAGCATATGGAGAAGAACAAATAGAAACACGAGCGCAAAGCACTGCTATGACGTATTCTGTAAATACTGCAAAAAATACAGCCACACTGTAATTGTTTTTTTCTTTATTAAACAGACATTTCCCAGCAATACATTAATATTTTATGAGAGTAAATGACTACATTTTGTCCATAATTATATCTGGGATCCCCCTAGTATTGTAATGATATGCTGGAGCTAAGAATCTGGCTACATATATTTACTGCTACACACAACAATCTGTCCAACATTCTGCACCGGTTAATTTCATTTGAAAACAATAAATCTAATTCTAAATTTGATTATAGCCCGGTATCAGATTAGAGCAGCAACTCATAATTACGGCTCTCCACGTTGCTATTTGAGTGGCAGCCTCGAAGCAGAATCACCTTATTTCACTATGGAATTTTATACAAGCACAAACGGTCTGCCTTTTTTTCCCCACTAATATTTTAATTAATAAACATGGAAAGCTCAAAAATACTTAATGCTTTTAGGGCTTGTATTTTTCACTACCCTGGTAGAAAGAAGTGGAAGCGGTCACTGTTGCCCACCAGGGCATTAAAACAAGGACAATTGATGGGTTGCTATTTACTTGCCCGATTTTTCTCTCTTCTGGGGAAACAAAAATCAATGCCGGCTTCTTCTAAAGAGAAAAGAGTCAATGAGAAAATGGAAGATTCACACTGAATCGGCCCTTAGAAAGCACCAAAGATAATCAGTTGGGAATTTTGTGCAGTCTTGCAGGTAACAAACTCTCTCTCCTATCATTACAAAACCATCAAGGGAAAGGCTTCTCATACTAGTGCTAGAAAAGCTCTCTCATTTTCCTTTATTTTTCAGCTTGTATTTTAAAGGAAAAAGTGCCTTAATGGCATATGGAGGGCAGCGTCCAGAACGCAGATACAAGAGACTTGTGCAGTAATTTGGCTGATGATATCAGACTCTTAACTGTATCATCTGCTTCCAACAAAAGAAATTTCAAATTTGGATTGCGATATAATTAAATACTACAGCTTATGACAGAAGGCATGAGAGAACACCTTTTCCCATGTACGAAGGCATGAATAGACACAATATTTACTTATCTCTCTAGATAAATATAAATATCAATGATGTATCAACAAACACACCTTTTCCCATTTCAACCTTACGCTGTAATTGACTGTTCAAAGCAGTACCGGTAAGGGTCAACTGTTAAAATTTTAATTAATGATGTAATTACCAAGCTAATTTAAAACTGCATTTGACCTTAAAACGATAACACTGTTTAGCATTAATTTTCAGAAAGTAAGGCTTAGTAACCTTTGTAACTGAAGAAATATTCAGCCACAACTTCTGCTGACCGTCCACCTGGTGTTCAACTGGTTCCCTTGAAAAGGTGTTGACATTTTCAGCCTGAGAACTATTAGAAAGTGCTTTTTTTTTTTGTTAGCAGTTTTTTGTAAGGTATAATCTCCCAACCTGTCTCCCTAAGAGTTCCACCGTGCCACCCCTCCCATGCACAGCTGTGAATGTCATTGCCTACTCGCGGCTAAAATTTAAACCTACTCTGCATGAAAAAGCGGAGAAGCCAAGGACCTAATTAACTACTCCACTTGCTCTTCTCCTTCACTTACATCTTCTGTGGCTTAATAGACTCCTTGTTCCATCCAGATTTTTGCACGCTTTTCAGACTCAACCGTTAGACAAGCAAACATCTAGAAATCTAAAAATCTACTGAGAAATCAAGGAACACGTGTACTAATGATCTTTGCTTCAGATCCACTTGCCACCGACTGACCCCTGTGGAACAATGATGCAACACCTTACAGTTGGCTATTCCCATTATTGGCAGGACCATAAATTGCTAATTTACATATACCAAAGTTTCAAATTAGGCCTCAGTCCCTCCATTAAAGAAAAATAATGCTCCAGTAGGTTCAGAAATCCACACAGATTCACCGAAATCTAGGGAGTTTAAAGGAAGCCCGGAAGTCCAGGTGGCTGTAGGAAACAACAGCCCCTTGAAGCACAAAAAAACAACGCTCCAGTAGGCTCAGAAATCCACACAGATTCACCAAAATCTAGGGAGTTCAAAGGAAGCCCGGAAGTCCAGGTGGCTGTAGGAAACAACAGCCCCTTGAAGCACAGGCGATGAATGGAGGATCGTGGCTTATAATTCCCAGTCTTCTCCTTGGAGATTTGACTGAGTGACAATTTTAAGCATTTAAACCCAGCGTGACACGCATTACTCATGTCGCGCGAAGCGGCGTGTGCAGAAACCCCGCGGAACGCTGTCAGTCCTTATGCCCCTTTTCCCCCCCCTCAGTTTACACCTTTTAACACCACCAGTGTGTTTTAAAACAACATACTGGGGAAAGGAGGGAAAAAAAAAAAAAAAGAGGGGTGGGGGAGAAGGAAAGAAAAAAAAATAACAGCAAAAAGGCCTGGATTTTAGTGAGTCTGAAAACAAACTGGCATAGTTTAAACAATTATTTCCCTATGCTGGTATTCTCAGGTCATAATAAAAGAGGAGCTTTCCTGCAAGTGCTCCCCAGTATGTTAAAGACACGTATGTAAATCTGGTTTCCTTTTAGAAACATTTCAGACATTCTTCTGGTGTACAAACACGGCCATTGTTCCCCCAGCGCCAAAACAAAACAACATCTGCAAACATCCGTGACGTCGGGCTGCGCTTCATTCATGAGGACTTGCATTAAAATCAATGGGACTTCACCCCCTCTGCCTGTAGGAACTGAAAACACCTCAAATTCCGGGGCCGTGGCAACAGATTTCAGTCAAGGGGACTAAAAAAAAAAATCTCAGTGTAAACTGCACATGCTGTTTTGGATAAAGAATTTCCCGTGGGGTCCACGTCTAAACATTTAGACAATTTACCTCCAATTATCAATATTATAGAGATTTAAAAAAAAAAAAAATCCACAAGAACCCTAAAGAAAAAGATAAAAGGAACTTTAGCTTGAGAAAACTCACTTCTAGGTTTACCGGAATGGCAGTTTACTTTTCTGGAAATTAAGAAAAAAAAACAAAAAAAGGCCATTTATTCATCAGCTTCTAATTTACCACCCAAAGCAAATATAATAAAAATGGAACAGCCTATTGTGTGGTAAA